AGGGCCCAGAGAACCCAAGACCCCTTAATTAAGGAATATACCTTAAATCATAATAATAAGGCCCCTATAATTTAAGGTATATTCCTTAATTTAGGTGTATTGGGTTCTCTGGGGGGTTCTTATAAAGTACCTCTTAGGAGTTTGGGTCCCAAATTAGGGGATCTACTTCTTGGATCCTTCCGGGGGTCTGGGTTAAGGATCCTACGATAGCTTAAGGTGTATTCCTTAGTTCAGGGGCTTTGGAAGATCTGGGAAAGAGCCCTAGCAACACCGGAGCACCCTAAACCCTAAACCCTAAACCCTAAACCCAAAACCCAAATCCAGCAGAAGCTGAGGAGGGTGCCCAAGAGTTCAAAGGCTCGTGGCCTTCGGCTTCCAAGCAGATGGGAGTTAGGGTTTAGGGTTTAGGGTTTAGGGTTTAGGGAGTCAGGGTTTCGGGTTTAGGGTTTAGGGAGTAAGGGTTTAGGGTTTAGGGCTTAGGGAGCTAGAATGAGGGGGACCCGATATAGACCCTCTCAAGAAGGTCCCTTCTAAGAGAGCCCAGAAGTACGGTGAAGAAGGGTCCTTCTTATACTACCTAGGAGAAGATCTGCACCGCTCTGGACTGAGGGTTTCCGCTTTAGGGCTCCAGTCTGAGTCGCCAGCACAGCTCTTGAAGCGCGTCAAGGTTGTTGTAGCAGTCTTTTGGGATGAGGTAGCTCCCTGGCTTGCATTGTTTTCGGGTCTGAGGTTTAGGGGTTTAGGGTTTAGGGTCTTTACCGCAAGCCGGTGCTGCAAGGATGCGACATGCCCCAAGCCACTTCACAGAGATAGTCGGATGTCGAGGCAAAGCACCTCTAGAACCCTAGAACCCTAAACCCTAAACCCTAGAACCCTAAACTTAAACCCTAAACCCTAAACCCTAAAACCCTAAACCCTAAACCCTCAACCCCTAAACCCTAAATTATTCGTACCTGGCAGACCCACGTAGTCTGCTGCAACCTGCCGGATGCTGATGAAGGGACACCTCAGTAAGAAAAGGCGTCTCCGGTATGCTCAAGGGTTTAGGGTTTGGGGTACCTACAACCATTCTACAGTTTCCTTTAAGGGCTTAAGAAGGGTTTCGATAATTTTATTCTAGAGCTTGAATATGGGTCTGTTTGGCGGTGAGCTGCGATAGCTCGCGGCTCGAGTCCCCTCAGTAGTGCGGCTAGTTATGGAAGAACCCTAGCTTTCTCTCCAGAACGGCCAGTGGACCCATCTATACCCAGGGACTGAACTAAAGCTGTGCACCTTAAAGTCGACTCGACGACTCGATTGCTAACACGGTTTAGGGTTTAGGGTTTTGGGTTCAAGGTTTCCATCTGGCTTTCATGTAACCTGCAGAAGGAGCATCAGTCCTCTGAGGTAGCTTCAAAGCAAATCCAGCCGGGCTGTAGAATACGCTCCATGGACTCTCCTTTAATTTGTATGTCGACAAGCATATTCCTTTGACAGACGGACGCTCAAGCCAGCACCCTAACCCCTAAGCCCCTAAACCCCGAACCTAACCCTAGACTCCCCTAAACCCTAAACCCTAAAGCCTCGAAAATTATTCCGGCCAAGAGACTGCAGCACGACCCCACCAATGTTCCATCTCATCCTCAGGTCAAACGTCTTTGGGATCACAGCTCTTGAGTTGAGGGTTTTAGGGTTTAGGGGGTTAGGGGTTCAGGGGTCTAAAGGTTTAGGGTCTAGGTTTAGGGTTTTTTTGGTTTATGGTTTAGGATCTAGGGTTTAGGGGTCTAGGGTTTGGGGTTTAGGGGTTTCAGGGTTTTTGTGTTTTTCATCTACCAGCCCATACTGGGCAGGCACTTGATCGGGTTTCAGGGCTTAGGGTTTAGGGTTGGGCCCCACCCCTTTCGCGCACTGTTGGCTAAGACCATGCCTGGATCCAAAAGTCGTACCATGTAAGAGAGAGCAGCAGGCAGGCAATGGCCTACACTCTGCATGGCTCGACCCAAAGAGGGTTGAGGGTTTAGGAAACCCTTAGAGGAACCCTTACAGGAACCATTTTAGAAGCCTTATAGATCCCCTTATATGAACCTTAAAAGAAACCCAAGAAGGAACCCTTACAGGAACCCCTGAAAGGAAGCCATAACCCCTTAACCCTAAACCCTAAACCTCTAAACCCTAAACCCTAAACCCTACACCGCTAGACCCTAAACCCTAAACCTCTAAACCCAAAACCCTAAACCCTACACCCCTAGACCCTAAACCCTAAACCCTTCGCCCTAAACCGTTCCGTGGACAGCGGCATTCGGGCAGCTCAGGGGCCCTGGCAGGTCACGCGCTCGCTTGGCGAGTCGAAGGACCGGCCTTAAAACGTCTACGGTGGTGGGTTTAGGGCTTAGGGTTTAGGGTAGAGGGTATAGGGTTTAGGGTTTAGGGTTTAGGGTATAGGGTTTAGGGTTTAGGGTTTAGGGTATAGGGCATCGGGTTTAGGGTTTAGGGTTTAGGGTTTAGGGTTTAGGGTTTAGGGTATAGACGTTTCTACAGAGGTCTCTGGAGTCGCCCACCCCTAGAGACTCCAAAAATCCTTAGATAAGGACGATAACTTAAATTGTAGTAGGATCCCCGATATGACTTAAGGTCCATTCCCTCAATTCCCTCACAGATCCCGTTAAGGAACCCGTAGAGGTATATTCCTTAAATAAGGTGTTTTTTTGGAGCCCTGGAGTCTCTGGGAGAGACAGCACATCAAACCCCAAACCCCTAAACCCTGAACCGCCAAACCCTAAACCCTAAACCCTAAACCCTAAACCCTAAACCCTAAACCTTAAACCCTAAACCAGAACCTGAGGGCCGAGTCCCGCTTCCAAGAGATCTTCCATGAAGAAGAACCTGAAT